ACTTGCCGATATCGTTACCCAAGGCTGTCAAGCTACACTGAAGAAACCACTGTAGAGTCAAGATGGCTCAATTCGCAGTCAGGATATTCCCTATTGACTTCTAGGGTGGCTCAATTATTGCCCGGAAAGAGCTAGAGGGACCAAAACACACAACTGGAGTATGAAACGTGCTCCGTGGTGCTAGCCAGCGTGAACCTCAAACCGTAACTGATTGCATTGTCGTGAAAGATATGCGGTGTCATGTGTCTTGTGCAAGCCATGCTGTGCAAGCTATGCTGTGCAAGCTACGTGGTGCAACCTGTATGCTGAGTGAGCTCGGTGGTGTGAGACCTGTGGCGGGAGCCATGCGGTGTAAACTGCAGGTTGCGTCATACGTTGTGTGAGGCCTGCGGTGTGCGCCGGGTGTGATGTGAGCATGCTCCCTCCACACCGACCACACAACCCAGCTCAGTGCGAGTGGGCGCACGGCCTGTAGCCTCCCGCGGGAGCCCGCCAAGGAGCATCCCACTGAGGCCACTGTGCCGAGACCTACCGCTGCGCACACGGCGCCTTCCACGAGCGGGAACGGGCGCCCCCTGTGGCGGAGCCTCGGCGCCAGGCGGGCCCACTAGGGGCGCCCGACGAGCGGGGGCGGGCACCGACACTGCGACAACCTGGGGACACCCCACGACAACGGCAGGTTCGTACCGTGGCGACCCCGGCGGTGGTTTCTTGGTGGGCTTGTTTTCCACCGCCACCACCAGGAGTAGGAGGGGGAGGGGGTCCTCCTCATCCTCTTCCTCCTCCTCCTCCTTGTCCTCCACCGTGTCTGACACCGTGCGGATCGTTCAATCTTGAACGATCGGCAATGATGCGATCGCCTGATCATTCGACGTTGGCCGATGCTGGGCCACAGGCAGGAGCCCAAAGAAGAACTCTTTAGTGCTGGCACAGGTTAGGGAACCGTTTCGCCTTCAAGTTCCAAACATAACGCCTCTCAAACTCTCAGGCGGTCCCGATGAGGCCCGCAAGGACCCCAAAAAAGGCCAAGATAGCACCGAGAGCCCGCAAGAATTGCCCCCTGAAGAAGCAACACGAGAGCCCAGGATGCCCGGATGTTGCTTGCCCTCTGGGCGCAGGTGGCTTAGCGAATCGGCCATGTTTGACTAACGCACCCTAATCTCATGGGGCAGGCTCTACTCCTTCACCGCCCCCCTGCCCGAAGATCTGCTTCGGGTGGGGGCACGAGTGTTGAAGTGCCCAGCATGGCTGCAATTCCAAATCCAGTCTCCAAAGTAACGCAGGTAACGGGTCCGAGTCAGCCCAAGATGGCCTTCGCGATGGCTCCCAGAGGCCCGAGAAGACCCTCAAGACGGCGCATAGGTGGTAGCCACGCCTCCCGACCGCCCAAAAAAAATGCCGAGCCTCCGAAAAATGGCCCCGACAGCTAGACCTCTGACGCGCATCGTGTTCCCACCCTCCTCCCCCTCCTACTCCTTCTCCTCCTCCACCGCCTCCTCCTCCTCCTTCGCCTCCTTCTCCTCCTTCTCCTCCTCCTCCTCCTCCTCCTCCCCCTCCTCCTCCTCCTCCTCCTCCTCCCCTTTCCCCCTCGGCCCTGCCGCCGTCGTTGACACCACGCAGCGTGGGGCAACTTAGCGGACTGCCACGAGGTGCATCTGATCAGTAACTCAGTGGCAACGCTCCGCATGATCGATTCAACCTTGTGTAAACGCAACCCTGACGTGCAAATCGTCGCTATGTATCTATATATATATATACACATGTGTATATGTATATACATATATATATACATGTGTATATATATACATGTATATACATATATATATATCTATATATATATTATAAGTATCTCTCTCTCCTTCTTTCTCTTGATCTTCCCGACATCTCCAACGTCAAGATTAGCCACAACGTGGACCTCCGAAAGTCCGGACCCCTTGCCTGGGATCGGATGTCATACCTCGCGGCGCCGGGGGAGGACCCCTGGAAGCCGAAAAGGGCCGAGACACTCACGCAGTGCTCTCTTCACAACGTGCGGAGTCTGGGTCTCTCTCACTCTCTCTTTCCCCCTCTCTCTCTCACACTCCCCCTTTCTTTCCCAACCATCCTGCGGTGTTGGGACCTCGTTTTGAAGAGACAGCGCAGCGCGTTCTCACTCCACCTCCCGCTGCCCCCCCTCCCTTCTCCTCTCATCATCAGCAGCATCATCGTCGTCATCACCATCGTCATCATCATCACCATCACCATCACCATCACCATCATCATCATCATCATCCTCATCATCATCATCATCATCATCAACACGGTCACCATCATCATCATCATCATCATCATCATCATCATCATCATCATCATCGTCATCATCAGCATCATCATCATCCTCGTCCTCGTCCTCGTCCTCATCCTCAGCAGCTTCATCATCATCAGCACGGTCATCATCATCATCATCATCATCATCATCATCATCATCATCATCATCATCATCACCAGAATCGTGGCCCCACATGGAGCTCCACGCAAGGTCCCAGTGGCGCAGTCCGCATGGCGGCGCCGCCCCATCTTGGCACACCCCTCACACGCTTCGTGGCTCCATGGGGAGCTCCACCTAAGGTCTCAGTGGCACAGTCCGCATGGCGGCGCTGCCCCATCTTGGCACACCCCTCACACGCTTCGTGGCCCCACTTCAGGTCCCAGTGGCGCAGTCCGCATGGGCTCTGCCCCATCTTGGCTCCCTCTGACACGCTTCGTGGCCCCATGGGGAGCTCCACCTGAGGTTGCAAAGGCGCAGTCCGCTTGGCGACGCCGCCCCATCTTGGCACAACTCTCACACACGTCGTGGCCCCATAGGGGGCTCCACCTAAGGTCACAGTGGCGCACGCATTCCGCATGGCGGCGCCGCCCTATTTTGGGACACCCCTCATATGCCTCGTGGCCCCATAGGGAGCTCCACGCAAGGTCCCAGTGGCGCAGTCCGCATGGCGGCGCCGCCCCATCTTGGAACACCCCTCACACGTTTCGTGGCCCCATAGAGGGGGCGCTACATCAGGCCCAGTAGCAGCGCCCGCAAAGCGGCCCCGCTCCATGTCGGTACTCTTCACACACTTCGTGGCCCCAAGAGGAGATCCACCGAAAGCGACACTAACAACGACGGTGTTCACAAGTGCATACGTTTAGGTTCTTCGCCAGGCTATTGTTTCATTTGTTTGTCTCTCTCTCTCTCTCTTTCTCTCTCTGTTTCTTTCTCTCCCTGTTTGTATGATTAGGCACGAGTTTCGAGGGCGGACGAACCACCCTGACCACAAGCACACCCACAAGCACACCTCACCACCCTCACCACAAGCCTTTTTCACAAACGTTCCTAAGAAAAGGAGTCGAGCAGAGCAGAACTGTGGAGTAAACGCCGGGTGCTCTTTGGTGAGCCCAGTTACTGGGCGTGGGGATTGTTCCTCCCTGAAGGGTTGGCCACGGATGGCGAGTCCTCTGAAACGGCTGGCCCTCAACCCCAGCGCCGCCTACATCGGGTGCCCGCACTCAGGGTCCCCCCCTCCGCCCCTGGAAAGGCCCTCCTGGCGAAAACGCTTCTGTTTCCGCGGTCATAACTGGCGTATTGGGGGGGAGGGGTTAGGGGGCGACGAGAGGGGGCACGACGTACCGCCCATGACGCAGCGGGGGGCGACGAGAGGGGGCACGACGTAGGGCCCACGACGTAGACCCCCCCCCCCCAAGATTGTGGTGCTGGACGGACGCTCCGCGGCAGTGCCAGGGATGCACTGAGGGGGGGAGCTCTACGTTTTGGGGGGGGAGGGGGGGGGAACGCGCTCTATGGCCCAACGGGTAAAAGACACTTTCCTCATACATCCGCGCGACTGGGACGACGGCCTCATGAGCCCACAGGGGGAATTTACGGGGAAACGACGGCGGTTGACCAGTTGTTCCGCCCCCCCCCCTTCCCATGGTGTCCCATGTTTTCCTGGGCGTCGACGATGCATGTCGCCTGTGTGTGATTATGTTGTGTTGTCCCCTCGTGATTGCCGACTGCCCGATAAGCCGCACGCCTTGGTCCGCGGCGACCCCCCTCCAAGAGGCCAGCATCACGACACACATGTTGGCATAGCACTGCGTGCTAAGATGGGGGCCAGCTCAGGGGGAGGACACGTCGAGCTTTACGTCGGGCGCGTCCCCCTACAAGGGGAGTTTCGACGACAACTAAAACATACCCCAACCATAATCAAACAATGATCCAAACATAGTCCGGGGACTATGTTTTGAGCATTTGTTTTACCATGTTGGGTGTATTTGTGGGGTATCTTGAATTTTTGTCGTCGAAATTCCCCTGTAGAGGGACAGGCCCGACTGAAGTCGAGCTCCAATCGGCGATGCACCGCCGATCGATCGGAGACGGGCCCACGGCAACGAACCTGCGCGTTCCTGGGCGGGGCGGCTCGTCGGGCCCCTGTCGGCGATGCGTGAGCGACTGGGGGGTCGATGCACCCCCCCTGACCCTATCCTTATATCGGGCGTGTCCCCCTACAGGGGGATTCTCGACGAAAACTAAAACATACCCAAAACATAATCAAAACATAGTCCAAAAATAATATGGGGACTATGTTTTGAGTATCGTTTGACCTTTTTGGGGGATTTTCCTGGTATTTCATAATTTTTCGTCGAAAATCCCCATGTAAGGGGACACGCCACGCCATAGGCCTATCCCCCGAGAAGGTTGCCCCTGGTGAAGATTTTTCCACCGCTCGGCTCAACGTGTCTCCAAGAGGAGCCCCGGAAGCATCCCGATCCTGAGGGGGAGTACGAAGCTCCTGAACGGAAGGGAGCTGCTCCCTCAGAGCCGCCTCTAGACACCTACGGTGTGGCGCTGGCGGACATGTGCCCCCGCGCACATGGACAAATTACTCTTCTAATAAAGACCCTTCGCGTCCTTGGAGATTCAAGGCATACCTAGATAGACAAAGAAGGCTGAGGCCTCGCTTAGCCATGGCCGCTCGGTCTCAGAACACCTCGCGTAATGAGAGATGGGAGGGCCAACCACCAGAGAGAGGCGCTCGTACAGCACAGTGCAAGTCCCTTGTGCCACACAACCAGCCAGCAGAAGCTGTGCTGATGGCGCCCACCTCGTAGCAAGTTATGACATCGCAAGAAGAAACACAGAAGTACCGTGCCCATGAACCAAGTGGCCACACCCACGCACATCTTCACAACCCGACACGTCTCCAAACTCCCCCGCAATGCGCGCGGGACCGAGCCGCCCGAGTACCGTTCCGACATCCACGTTGACGTCCTACCCACCAGACCACCCCTAGCCAACCCGACGTCGCCGCGGGGCCTGTCCATGTCCAGTGAGGGACATCGGGGAACATTGTCAAAACACATCATGTGAGCCCGAACCCCCTCATGCCGAAATTGGAGAGGATCTGAAACCTCCAGGTTGTGTTGGGGTGCCGTCTGGTGAGTAGTGACATGCGGCCACTCCGCCACGTGCAAGAGGGGGGAAAACGCCTGCACCGACCCTGCCATCGCGTGGACGTCCATTCCCCGTGCAATCTTCGGCTTCGTGCGTGCTTGCTTGTGTGCAGGATTGGCTACTTTTTCTGGGGACCTTCCTGGAGCCACTCGCTGCGCTCGTGCGTCGAAGCTGCGTCGAACGCACGTCGACTCGAGTCGACCTTGAGTCGAACCTGAGTCGAACTTGAATCGGACTGGGGCCGAACGCTGAGCTGGAGGCAAATAGCGCCGTGAGGTGGGCCCGAGGGAGGCCCCCCAAAACGAGCATGTGAGCAGGATGGTCCAAGATGCACTTCGATGGTCCTCGACGACGCAAAGTTTCCCAATGGGCCGTAGGCGACCCGAGGAGGAGGAGGAAGACAAAGAAGAGGAGGTGGGGGAGGTGGGGAGGAGGAGGAGGCACCGCCGCTCCCTCGGCACGGGCGTCGAGCCATCACAGAGGCCGCCCCCGCGACCCCCCGAGAACGTCCGCCGACGACCTGTGCTTTGAGCAGGGACCGACAGTCCCGGCACTGCTGTGATTAGGCCAACCACGAGGACAGTTCTCAGAACCCAGCAGTGCTCCAAGAACAGAAGCCCGATGTGTGAAAGAAAGAAAGACTCCGCCAGAAAGGTTCTCAAACAATTCCCTGGTGGGCCTATAGGCATGTCCCCCTACAGGCCGACGTTGGACGAAACATTGAAACAATACCACACTAATGCACCAAACAGTGTTCAAACATGGGCAAAACAAATCCCCTGGCTATGTTTTGGCTCTTTTTGAAAATTTTCTCCCTGTAGAGAGACAGGGCCCGACTTAAGCCTGTAGGCGACCCAGGACGCTTCGCCACTGCTTGGGAAGGCGCTCCGTGCGCGGCGGCCCCCGCGGGCCCCCCGGCGGCCGCGTCGCCCGGGGGGGGGGCCGCCCGTCGCCCCCCGGAGGTCCGCGTCCTGTGCCTGGCCCCCCCGCGGGCCCCCCCCGGGAGCGGGCCCCCCTAAGGGGGCCGAGCGACTGAGAGAGAGAGGGAGGGAGGCAGAGGGAGAGATCGATGTTCATATATGTCGGCGGTGCCCGGTGCGGAGCGAGCCCCCCCCCCCGGTAATCTCTCCTGGGGGGTTTCGAGCTGGCGCCATTCCCGGTGCGAGCCTGCACGAACCCCCCCGGTAAACACAACCTCCTCTGGTAGGCTGCACGACCCCCCCGGTATGGACGCAACCCCTCCGTAAGCGGCGCGCTCCCGGCACGCGCGAACCCCAGCCCCGACGCGCGAATCTTACCAGGACGGGCCGGAACACGGCGGCGGCATTACATCCCAGGGCCGTGCCGGAACACGGCGGCACTGTTCTTCTCTACGCGGCCGTGCCGTCGACACCCCACAGCGGCTCTCGGGAGTTGCGCCGCAGCCTCTCGTATTGTGGCCACGAGCCACAATACGAGAGGCTGCGGCGGAACAAAGGCGAGCAGACGCGAATAGAGAACACAAGGCGAGCACACGCCACACTTCGACAGGGAGCCACCCTTCCCAACCGCCCCCCTGCCCCCCCCCCCAACCCACCCCCCACTCCCACCCCCCCACTCCCACAGGGGGGGGGGGGGAGCCCAGGTAGACGCAGTGCGGCCTGCACGAAACCACCCGGTAAAGCGACAGGGGAGGACCCACTGCGGCCTGCACGAACCCCCCCGGTAAAGCGGCAAGGGGGGGGGTGTTCTAAGCCGCTAGCGGCACCCGGTGCGGGCTGCACAAAACCCCCCGGTAGTGCACGAACCCCCCCGGTAGTGCTGGGGGGGGTTCGTTCCACGGCGCACCGCCAACACATATATATATATATATATACATACATACATACATACATACCTACCTACCTACCTACCTACATACATACATACTTACATGCATGCATGCATACATACATGCATACATACATATCATATATATAAACGCATGCATATACATATACATATTCCTCTTCCTATATTTTTACAAGACCGGGGGGGGGAACCGCCCCCCCCCCAAAACAAAAAACTGGATCCCCGGGATCTGGGGTTCTCGGGTTCCCTTGGACGTCCTTGGAAAAGGTTACCCAGCTTTCTGGGTCTCCACAAACGCCTTGCAAGCAGACCCAGAGCGATCAGAAGGGTCATCAGAAAGGCTCAAGGGAGGCCCCAGACAGCACAAGAGCGCTCCAAGAGGGACTCCAATTGCTTCAGGACGGCCCCAAAGACCCCAAAGGCATCCCGAAAAGCTTTCCAAGGGGCCCCAAGAGGCAAAAATCATTGATGTTTTGGTGTTTTTTGGTGAATTTTGAGGTTCTCCTCTTTTCGGCTTCCCGACGCTCCAAGACGGCGGTCTTCTGGGCGTCCGCAGCCGGGGAGGCTCCAAAAACGCCCCACAACCATCCGAAAGGGCTTCCAGGCAGTCCAAGAAAGCCCCAAAACGGCACAACAGGGGTCCAAGATGGCCATCAGAGAGCTCCATGGCGGCCCAAGATGGCCCCGAGACACCCTCGGAAGCATTCCAAATCGTGACCCGGTCGTTCAAGGAGACCACGGTTCGAGGCATGGTGGCCCGAGGAAGCCCCCAGAGGCTCCCAGAACACGCCCACGAGGCCTCCAGAAGGCCTTTAGGAAGCCTGAAACAACTTTTGTGAGGCCCCCAGAGGCTCTCCAAGGAGGAGCCTCCGCAAAAAGAGCTGAGGAGGATGGGGAGAATGCATGGAGGAAGGATAACGAAAAACATTATTTCAGCGGCGATGCCGGAAAAGGCAACAAGGACTTATCGCTAAATGGTCGGCTTGACCTTCCTGCTAGTCCGCCTGCATGCCAAACTTCAAGGACCAAGGTGCATGGCGCGAAGCGCCACTGCAGTCTTGTATATATATATATATGTATACATTGAGAGAGAGAGGAAGAGAACAAGAGAGAGAGAGAGAGAGAGCAAGAAAGAGCGAGAAAGAGAGAGGGAGAAAGCAAAACAAACAGAGGAGGAGGAGGAAGAGGAGGTGGAGGAGGAGGAGGAGGAGGAAGAGGAGAACAAGGATGAGCTGGAGGAGGATGAGGAGGAGGAGGAGGAGGAGGAGAAGGAGGAGAAAGAGAAGCGCGAGTAAGGGCGCCCCCGGCTGCACAAGGAGGGCACGCTGAGCCTCCTGCGGGGCCTCCTTTGCTGGGGCGCGCGGGGCCGACGTGGTGCAAAGGCTTCACCTCCCCGCCCCCCCGTTCGCCCGCCCCGCCGAACCCGAGGTCCTGGCCTGTGCTGCGCACGCAGTCCCGCCACGCCCTCGTCGCCACGGCCGCGTCCGCCTCGCGAGCCCCCTGGTTGGGGGTTGGGGCGCGAGCCAACCTTTTGGGGGGAATACAGAGCGGCACAGGCACGAACCCTCGGAGATCCGCCCGGAAGAGGCTCCCAAGAGACCCCGAGCTTCCTCCCCGAGGCTCTCAAGAGGGGTCCCAAGAAACCCCGGGAAGCATCCCTGAGGACTCTGGCCCACGTCAGCGTCGCCGCCGCCGCCGCCGCCGCCGCCGATGTCGTCGTCGTCGTCGTCGTCGTCGTCATCGTCGTCGTCGTCGTCGTCGTCTCCCTTCAGGGTCGGTGACGCCGGCCGTCAGGCCTTCGCAACACATCGTCCGCAACGTCCGCAATCTGGACCCACTGCTGCGGGCAAAAAGTGTCTGCATGTCCACTGCGCCTCGGTCGGGTTCTCTTCCCTGGAAAACCCGAAACGCACTGGATGTGGGGGCTAGGAGCTGTTTTTCATAGAGCAGCCAAGTCAAGCAAACCTTGCACCAGACGGTGCGTGAGCAGGGTGAAGAAAGAGAACATGTCATGTCCTCTGCGTCTCAGGGTAGGACCTAAACGGTGTTGTTCGTGTCGTGTTGTTTCCGTTCTCCCTCGGTTTGTTTTCGTTCTTCTTTTGCTGCGAAACGGAGTCGAAACGAAAACGGCCAACGAAATCGCCAAATGTTCAGGTGGAGACCTGGTGCGTCTCGGTAACACATAAAAAAACGCAAGGCCCCAAATCGAAACAAACATGAAAATCGATCCTGGGGCCATCCTCTTCTCTCTTCCGTCTCCCATCATGATTATTCCTCTCTTCCTGCTCGCGCCCCCACTCGTAAGATTGCAGTCAAAGCGCCTAGCGCGGACGAGCAATCTCGCTACCCTTGCAAGGTTGCCACTTCGGCCCATCGCTGGGCCTTGCAAAGACCTGGCATCTTTGCCGCGCATCTTTACTACGCGAGCCCACTGTAATACAAGAATTCCCTCCACCCCCACGCAGGAGCGACTCGCGGCCGCGGCCGCACGCCGAGAGCTTGCGAGCGCCGAGGGCTGGGCCCCCGCCCCGGACAACCTCGGCCGAGGAGCGAAGCGTGGCTTCGGCAAGGGCGGCAGACCCCGGGGCACGAGCGTGGAATACAAGAGAACGGACAGACCCCGACCTGCGCCCGCGCTGCGACGAGACCCAACGGCGCAGTCCAAGCTCCAGATCCTCCTCGACTGGAGCAAGCACGGGGACGAGC